GGGCCTGAGGCCCAGCAGCAGGCTAGCCACCCTCCCAGCTCCCTCCCCCCTACTCCCTCCCACCCCCATCTTGAGTGCCACCTACCCAGAAGGCTTCCTGCCTCTTCCCCAACGGGGTTTCTGTTTCTAGCCTTGATAGTCTGGTTCTTCTATTCTTGGCTGTAGGGGTTTAACTCAACCCACTTTTCTCTGTCCCAGCCTCCCATCTGATAGACAAAGCTGCTATAAATAACTGTGTGGTTATATTTACCACTTTTCTATTACTTTTTTTTTTTTTTTTTTTAATATATGGGACTCAGAATCACGCAGAACTTTTGGGATTGCTTAGTACCATGTTTTATTTAGTGCTATATTGATTATCTTATTATATATCTAATAAAATATCTAATGTTATGCCTCATTTTCCAGACATTAATAAAAAAAAAAAGACCTTCCAGTGTGAGCAAATAGAAAAAAGAAAACATTGCTGGTTAAAGACTGTCAACATCATTCTTCAAATCCAGGAAGTAGTTTACTTAATGGCTTAAATTTAAACAACTTTTTTTTTTTTTGCATTCTCTTCACTATATAGGTAGATAAAGGAAAAGTATCTTTTTTATATACAGTGTATTTTGGTCTAGTGTGTGTGATTGTCCCAACTCAATATCATGTATATTCTGAGAGTATTTAAAAACTTAAACATCAAAACTCCTAAATCCCTAGTTCCAAAAAAAAAATTAAAAAAGCTGCACCTGTACATTGATGAAAGTTGTACGATGCCTTCTAGAGAGTTTAGATGTAAAAATTCCACAGCCTTTACAAATCTGTCATTGTAAGTGGTCTTTTTATAACCTGCTTCTCCATACTCTTTGTCAGTACCCAGCTAGATGTTTTTGTCTTTTTTTTAAAAGCACAATAATAAACACATCTACTGCCTTTATTTCATCAGCTACAAAAAAGTATCCTCGTCTCATCCTGATGAGGGGTGTCTCACCTGAAGCCCTGCGCCCAGATTGAAACACTACATGGCAGCAGGGTGTACGGCCTGTGTGCTTCCTGCCAATTAAATGGAAAAAGTCTCTCTTTTTTAAAAAGCTACAAACTTAGGCTTTCACCTGTCAGGAAAATGAAACCGTCACTAACAGCTGTTGATCTTGCTGGCAGGTTCATGCCTTCAACAAAGTGATTTTTTTCTCCAGGTGAATTACTCCCTCACGTTGGCGTGGCAATGACTATTTAATAAAGCTATTTACGAAAACTCCGTAAGTGTGTGGTCCCTGTTCCCACAGCGTGTCACTGACGCCGCCAAGTGACAGGTCTGAAAAATCAGCAAATCCTAAGCAATTAGAGCCACAGTTCCTCTTTCCAAAACCAAGGCCTCCGCTACCTTCTAGACAAAGATATTGTTGTCTTCGGTGGGGAGAAATAGAGACTCCCAAATTAAGCTGTGGGTCCATGGGGATGTCCCTTTGAATTCATGGCTTCTGAGAAGAGTGGCATGGGTGATTAAGAAAACAATTCAGTCTCTGAATGAATATACCTAATTTTAGAGTTGATGGAGGTTTTTTTTTTTTCCTTAACATGTTTTAATTTTCCCCAGTCTCACCCCAAAATCATACCATACCACAGGACTGAAATTCTTTGTCTTAAAAATCTAACAGGCCCACGGAAAACTTCCAACTCATGGCACACACAGGCACTTGGGGATGTATGTAAGACGTCCCTTTAGCCACCTCATTCTTGAACTGGGCTAAGAGCTTTTCAATTGCTGTGACATTTTCAGCCAGGGAAGTAGTAGTTGTTGCAGAGCAATGTTTTACAGGCAATTACTTTATATGATCAATGGAGCAATTCCCTTTCCAGAAAGGAACCAAAGCGATCAAGTTAAATCATTAAAGAGAGAAAGAGAGAGTGGGAGAAAGGATTCATCTCATTAGCAGGTGCCGGAGCTGCAAGCTCCTCGGTGGCACACAATGTCACTGGCCCTTTAAGACAATGACTGCACTCCCTCCACTCTGGCCACCCCCCTCCTCTGTAGCTGTTGACAGGTCTAAACCTCCCTTGCAGCCCATTGTGGCCGCAGTAGGAGGCACCTGCAGAAAATGTGCCAAAACCAGGCAGGGAGCAAGAGCTTTTCAATAAGCTCCGCAGCTGGAGAGGAGAGGCAACACTAAACAACCAGGCTGGGACCAGGCATGTGATGGGAAAAGGGGTCAGAACCAGACACCTCCTATCGGCTTGCCGAGCCCTGTTCGGTTCAATTTGCTGACATCTTGGAGCTGGATTTTCTCTATTTGCTTAATATGCTGAGGTATTTAGCTTAAAAGCACTAAATGCTCCATCAGGATGAGCAGCTTTCCCCTTTCCCATTTACTGTTATTAAGGACGTTTTCCAGTATTTTCGCTCTTGTTCTGCCCCTAACTAAGATTGTTTTCTTTGGCTTCTCTCTCATGACTAGTTATAGGCCCTCTCCATCGCACGCACGCTGTCTGCTTGGTTTTACTCATCGTTAATTCAGGGAGAAGCAGGACAGCTTAGGATCTGTGCTGCCTTCCTGACTACACATTTGGACGGCCTTTTTTTTTAATTTTTTTTTTTTTGAGAGAGATTTTCATTGTAGGGCACGGGCGCTCACCAGACAGACAGAGAGAGACATAGAGACAGAAAGCGAGAAATCACCCCCCAGGGGGGATGGTCTCGCTGCAATCCCTTCTCCTCCATTCTCCTCTCGGGATCTTGGGCATGCACGCACACGCGCCCGGCGTGAGTTCTAAGCCACCGGGTCCTAGACACGAACCACGGTCGACTACGTGGGAGTCCAGCGACATAGCCATTACGCTAACTGCTGGTTCCCATATTTGGACGGCCTTAAGCACACGCCTGCAAGGTGCACACGCCTGCAAGGTGCACACGCGTGCAAGGTGCAGTCTTGCATTTCAGCTCAGTGAACATTTAGTGTGCATCTACTGTGTACACACCACTGTTCTCTGGGCTTCCAGAGTCCAGAGGTGGACAAGATTTTGCTCTCCCTCTACCCAGCAGAGGGGCTAAATCACAGCTCAGATAACCATGGATTGGGGGGACTTATTCTGCATCCATGCGCTTATCTTTTGAGAATAAACAAGAGTGGGGGGTAGGGACCAGGAGACCAGAGAAGTCCTGGTGGTGTCGTGGCTCTGTCGAGTGTGCCTTGAGAAGCAAGAGGACGCCTTCTGGACGTCCTTTCCCCAGGACAAATGAGAGATGAGAACCTAGGACAGCTCCTCAAGTCTGGGCAGCTCTGTCCTAACTCTACATTGACACCACACGTTCCAGTTTTCAAGATAGCTCCATCTATTTCTTTTTTTCTCCCTTGAAGTAGTAAGGATTTATCTCTGTCTCCCAGAGGAAAACATTTGAGACTGGAGCTAAGCACCTTGTCTGGGGCCACATGACAAGTGGGTGGTTAAATGCAACACCCCCCCCCAGGCACACAGCCCCTCCACTGCCCACCCACACCTTGGCTTCTCTGCCACCCTGCCCTGCCTCTTCACGCTGTCAGCCAGCACAAGTGCACGACTTAAGAGCAGCATGGAACAGACAAAGCGACGTTTTCACAGTGAAACTCTTTTCCCCACTCCTACAGATGGAGAGTGTTGGCGTGTACGGATTCTGTGGGTGTAAAGCAAAGAACAAAATGAAGTGTGATTCAAAGTGGGAAATAACTGCTTCAGGTAGGAAATGAACCAATACATGTAAGTATCAAACTGGTGTCTGAAATAATTACGCCCAGAGCTTCATTCGTTTCTACAGGGGCCGGGTGCATTCAATCGAGGTACATTTAGACTCAGACACACCTCATGCGTTTGCTAGCCTACCGCTGCAAAATCTGCTTGTTCAGAATGCCAACAAGTGGTAAGAGATTTGCAAGAAAGAGTATTTCTGAGGTACCCTGGAGGCGGGAAATGAAATCATTTCCCACCTACCCTAAGCCTGGATTGTTAATGGCCATATAGACCACAGAGCAGGACCTAGCTGCCTGTCCAGCAGCCAGCCCCATCCTCCCTTCCTGCTCTGCCCTGGTGGCCTGGGGGATTGTCTCTGTTTGGGCCCATACAAAAGCAGGAAGAGATGGTCTCTCCACTCTTCTGAGCTTGTTTATGCTTTAATATGTCTCTCCTCTCAGAGACTAGTCCTCTTCCTCCTTCTTCCTCAGTGCCTCCCTCCAATTCTGGAGAAAACAAGCGGGCTATTCATGGAAAAAGAGAAAGAGTGAGAAGGGAGGGGGAGATGCCACCGACAAACTCCATTGAAAGCCACTGGCTGTTCATTTACATTCACACTTTTAAAAAATGTTAACTAATGATGTTAAATGGTTTGCCAAAGGTCCTGGCAGGTCAGTTGTAGAAGTGTCATTTCTGCCTAATTAGGGCTCTTGTGGCTGCCCGGGGCCTCCCAGTGCCACTGGTGACAAGCCGAGAGCTGACAGCTTCAATTGGTGCCAATAGGAAGGTTGGGCCGGTCATGTTTTCCAACTCAGCCAGGTGTTTGCTGAATGGGGGAGGGGGCTTGGTGAGATCTGAGCGCCTGTAGGATCCTTTTTCTTTCACTCCTCCCTCCCAAGGCCTTCCACTTTGCTGGTCTTGTCCTGTGTCAAGGTCAAGAATGGGCTTTGCTAAATCAGCAGATTTGGGTTATCTCTGGCAGGTCGTTAGCTATCCCCAGTCCCGACACCTCAAGTGGTCTACCTCCAACTCCCAATGCTAGATTTTTTTTTCTCCCTAAAAATTAGTAAATAGGAAAAGAAAGAGATTGCTTTAGGTGAAAAACCAAAAGTAGGAAACAAAACAAAAACTCCCAGAACATTCTGTGTAGCTATCAGCATGTTAAACTCCTGAAGATATTCATTCATGATAAAATGGCTTAAATAGAAAATAGCTAAAGCATTTCGATTGATGCTTTAAATATTTGAAAGAAGAAAGACAATAATGATGAGAAATCCTGTAACGTTCAATGGAATGTATATTGTATTGTCAGAAAAGTCCTCATGTGTTTCCCTATGCAAAAATGCATCGTGACTTTAGCGATGACCCAGTAGTACCTGCCACATTGTTGGGCTCAACAAACATTGTATGATTTTTCAGGAGAAAAATTAATTGTCTTTGAAACAAAGAGGGGCTGACAAAGATCCCACTATATTTTCTTTTCCTTTTTATTTATTTATTTATTTTTTACAGATAGGATCTCACTATGTCGTGATCCTTCTGAGTAACTAGGACTGCAGGAATGTACCGCTGTGCTTGGCCTTAGGGTGGGCTGGGAATCCAGCTGGGGCCTCCCATGTGGTTTCAGGGGGCCCGCTGCGTCTTAGCCGTGCTTGCTACTGTGGCTGGCCCAGGATTTTTCATGCTTGCTGTAATTGTTTCTATAATGCCCTTCGAATGTCTCAGTTGTCCATAAAATATGTACTTAGCTGGAGTCCCACCTTATGGATTGATATGATTATCTTGGTTTTTGTTTGGTTTGTTTCTTTTTTCCCCACACCTTAAGAAGGAGAATACCGCTTGTGCTCAGCACCCCCAGGCCACAGTAGGGACAATACAAAGAGGCAGTCCTGTGGCAATGATAGGGTATTTGTGTCCAAAATTCCTGTCTGAGGCACGGACAGACCCTGCGGGGACGGCCGCCTGCTCTAGTTGTACTTGAATTGAACACATCAGCTCTCGAGCACACACAAACGCACATACACACACAGAGTGTGTTAGCAGGCCCGTTAGACAAGGAGTGGCAGGGTGAGTACATGGGCATTTGGGGGCAATGTTGTGATAAACTAAATGGAAGAAGTGGATTAGAAAAAACGATATTCATTTCATGAAAATCTAAGGCCAGGTCTACAGGGTACGGTTCTGGGAATAACAGGGTGTTTACAGTTTCTGAAACTTGGGGTTTTTAGCTTCCTCTCCTTGTCTAAAGAGCCCTTTCTCACGTGCTGCCTCTGTTTTGTCTAATATGGGGTAGTGAGATTGGGGCCAGAGATAGAGAGTGTGCCTGCTGGTTCTAGCAAAGCAGGAGTCCTGTGAAGACGAAGTGAGGCAGTCTACAGAAGCTCACCAGGACAGTACCTGGGACATACGAGGTGCCCAACATGTCCCTGCTGGTGCGGGCCCTCATGGCTGGACACCATGTGCTGCTCTCTGGTGTCCCGTTATTTTCACAGTCTGCTAGCAGGTGAGCTACTGAGTTGAGACAGAAATTAGAGGCTAATCCAACTTGAACCTTCAGAGCCCGGCACGGAAAGTGCCCGGGACGTATTTGCACAAAGAGAATGAACAGAATCAACTAATGGTCTGATCTCTTGAACGACTTGTGAACAAACTGATCTACACATACTCACACCGTGTACTTGGCTGTCTCTAGCTTCTCCCACCCCGGGACCTCTTTTGTCACTGACTTCCCTTCAAAGGTCCACTGCGCATTTTTGTCCTGCCCTGTTTTTGTACATTCCTTGTACACCATGGTGACCTTCTTTGTCTTTCTTGCTTCATGCTCCTACAGGCTTGTTTAATTCTATTGCTTTTATTCCAGTGTATCGTTTCTCTTCTGGTTCCAGGCCTAGTCCCTGTCTTGGCTCTGCCTCCCACACCCACCTCCGTCTCCCAAATCCTGACCCACAAAGCTGCAATTGCTGTGTGTACTCTGTGGGCAAATGATTGTCAAGTGACTCTTACAAGTGCTAAAGAGGGACCACTTTTGATTGTCCTTGTGGTTAGGAAGATGAGTAAAAATCATTCTGGAAGCGATTAGTGGTAGAGAAAACCTTCCACATCAACTAAGTCAGCACAGAGAAGGAAGCTAATTACAATCGTCACTAAAACTAAAACAAACAAAAAGCTTTGAAGATTTACGAACAGAGGAAAAAGCATACAGATTACAGTAAGTCTTCTGTTCCATGACATGAATACACTCCAGCGGTATTTGTGATAACGGATCGTTACAGTGGGGTCCCTGGAACAGTGAAATTATGTGCAGTCAAATATTACCTAAACTGGGGCCAGCAGATGGCGTAATGGCTACATTGTTGGACTCCCATGTAGTCGACTGTTGCTTAAATCCCGGACCCAGGGGCTTAAACTCACACCAGGCATGTGTGCCTAAGATCCCAACCCCGAGAGGAGAATGGAGGAGAAGGGATTGCGGTGTGGCCATCCCCCCGGGGGATGATTTCTCTCTTTCTGTCTCTCTGCCTTTTTGTCAAGCGCATGCACCCTATAGCAAGTATTACCGAAACCTTCTAAAGGCAAGTCTGACTTTGTTACCCCATCATTAAGGGCTTTTTGGTGGTTCTTCTACATCTTGCTCTGGCTTCCTTTTTCTCAGATCCTTACTCTGGTCGTGCTTACCTGTAGGCTGTTCTCTGGTCATGCTAGCTGTTTCATGCCTCAGGGCCCTTAGACACACTCTTCATTAGACACTCTCTTTCCTGCCCTTAGAAGGAATCCTTTTTTCTCTTTTGTTCTCCTGACAAACATCTGTTGTTATAAAGATTCGCCTCCATACCCTCTCTTCCACAGAGCTGCTCCTGACGCTTCCTGAGGTAGACTGAGCTTTCTCACTTTTGTGTCCCCCTCACAAAACCTAACGTTCTTGCCGCAAATAATAATAATAGCAAGAACTGGGGCCCGCAGGTGGTGTAGTGGTTACAGGTGCTGGACTCCCACATGGCCGACCGTGGTTTGAGTCCCACACCTGGCAGCTTGCCTTCTTGCCTTCTTATGTTTTCTCTCTCTCTCTCTTTCCTTGTCCATCTCTGGCCAAATTAAAACAAATAAATAAAGTTGAGTAAAATAATTCTTTCCAAAAAAAATAGGAAGAATGACAGTTGCCTTTCATGGAGTGCCTTCTGGCGCCAGTGGGTGTAAGTGCTTTCACTTGTATGGTTTAAGCCTCACCACCCAAAAAAGAGAGCACGAGTATATTTTACCGGCCCCTGGTGTTCAAGTGGCATGTCTGATGTCACATAGCTTCAGCGTGGTGGAGCTGGGACCCGAATCCATTCAGCATGACTCAAGGACGTGTTACTTCACGCTCAGGAAAGAACCACCTCTCACTAAGGACACCCACCATGCTGTTTGGTTGGGGTGTTCTGGTTATGGTTTGTCTCCTCCCTAGACAATGAGCTCCTCGAGGTCGGCGACACTCCTGTAACTGAGTTCTACTGCCTGTCGTAGGGACGGCACGTAGCAGAGACTAAGTGCTGGCTAAATTTAATAAGTGCATCGCACTGTCCTGTATTTATGTGCATGTACATATGTATCCATTCTCTTTGGCCCTGCCTCTCTCTTCTTTGTATACATGCATGCATATATACATGTCATAGAAGTGTATTTATGCATGCATATCCGTGCACATTTCATATGCATACGCACATGGCATTTATGCATATTTCACACACATATCCGCACGTATACAGAAGTATATGTACATAAATTAACACATACTTGTATATAGAGAGATACGTACATACATTAACATATATAGGTACCTGTATCCGTAAAGAACACGAGAGACAGAGAATCACTTGCAACCTGGAGGAACATGATCTATTATTTGGTATCTTTGACTTTAAATTCTACATTCTTCTAGTTTCTTTGTATTAAGGACAAGATGGCATACAGCCTACATGTCCCCAGAGAAAGACCTCTCAGCTCTCAGAGTTCTGCCATGGAGTGTCATATTACATTTGAGTCAGAAAGCT